CCTCATTGGAAGGCAGCGCTCTATCCCCTGAGCCACCGCGACTCTTTATAATTTATTATAAAAATAACTTCACAGAATTTAATGTGTATATTATCTTACTGTAATTAAATTTTAGTGTGACTGAATAACAAAAAGGGTCAGTGCCACTTTGCACTAGGTAATGTTAAAGAACATTATTGTAATGAAACACTAGATCCAAAGGTTGGATTGACTACATTGGCGCTTAACTACAAAACATTGGTATAAAGTAGTTGCCACAATTTTTTTCGTTGGCAGATACACTAAAATTTCTTACTGTGCGGAGAATAATAGCATTGCCGATTTAGATTTCAAAAATGCTTGTTCAAAAGTTGTCTTGTTTCATCCTTCCATCGAAGTACACTGAGAAAAAAAGTTACAGCTAAGAGAAAAAAAAGTCAAAACTACGAGAATATGGTAAAATTTACAATGTTTTTGACTCTATGAGAGTACTAAAGAGCTCGTTATTTTTTACCGAAACCCATTAGTAATGATTTTGTAAAAAAAAAAAAAAAAAAAAAAGAGAAATATGGTTTTGTTTATGTGATAAAGTAAAATTTGGTCATGGTATCTTGGAGCATGGCATGAAAACCATTTATTCTGTAAAATTAACTTTTCAGTTCCGTATTTTTTTACTAAATGTATGATATAAAGAATTATAATTTTGAAAATTAGAGCTTCCGGTTAACCTTCACCTTATGAACGGAAAAATTACCAAATGAATGGTTTAAATACCATATATTTCGGTTTAGTTAACCAAAATTATGGTTTATTTTACAAGAAAAGTCATGACCATACAAAACGCTACTTTTACCAGAATTTTTTTGTTGGTGTAATAAAACATTCTTATAAAAATTTTCTTTTCTTTTTTTTTAAGAAGTATTGCATATAAAATAAATTATCGAAATATTTTCAACATAGATGTATTCTCCAAGTAGTTTACTTCCTCATCTTCTGAGTCGGTACCTAAATTACACGAAAATTTGTCTGAAAATTAAGATCCATCCATCTCTATAAATGTGCATTATGTGCATCTCTATAAATGAGAATGGCTTATTAAAAAAATACCAAATTATTTTTTAACATCACTATCAGACGTTAAGAAATATAAATTAATTATTATGTACGAAAACTTTCTAATCGACAAAGAACAAAAAGAAAATTATATATTTACAAAAAACTTACATATTTACAAATACCAATTTCAGGATGCTGTTTCAAAATATAGAATAAACAAATAAATAAAAATTCTTGAAAAATAAATATAAATGAAAGCGAATTTAAATCTTTTCTCGCTGTGCGTTTTCTTTATAAAATACTGACAAAATCTAAATTCTTAAAAAGTTAAAACAAAAGTGAAAGTGAGAATAAAAGAGTCTTTTTCAAACAAAAAATAAATTCTACCACCTCCATATTTACCTATCGAGAGTTATATGAACTCAATCTCTTTATTTTTAAAGCAACTAATCAATATTTTGCAATTTTTTGGTTCATTGTAGCAATTAAAATATAGTCTGTTGAACTCTAATATACTCTGTTGTTGTTATAAATTTAAATGTTTTAAACATTTTTAAAACCTTTTTTAAAGTTATGGTAAGAGTTTTATAAAAAGTTTTTAAGAAAATACTAACAATAACAAAATTTTAAAATATAGTTACTAGGCCAAATAGCTCTCGAATGAATGAATGAATGAATAAATTAAGAAAAATATTCCAAATTGTACTTTAGTTACTTAACAAAGGAAATTTCGTTCATATGACGCTTCGCAGGTTTCCATAGGAATTATTTTTCTGAATGAAATGGAATAATTTTTATGACTAATGCGGATTTTTTATGACTAATTTTCGAAAATTCCTTGGAGGAATAATGTAACCGGCAGCAGTCTGTCAATTAAGCGTAATGTCTGTCAATTAAGTCTGTCAATTAAGCTGTCATGTAAACGTGTCATGTAAACAGTTTATGGAAAAGAACATTTTTTTACCTTCATGATTTTAAAACCGTTTTCAACTAGTATGGTAAAAAAAAAAACATGAATACAGAACTATACGGTTTTTTAAACATTTACAACTAGCATGGTTTCAAAACAGTGGAAAAGAAATTTAACTGGACATCTGAACTAGGCTTTTCGTTAGGCAATGGACATTGAAGTCAGGCTGTGGTTGAGTTGTGTTACGTCAAATCAACCGTGACATGTGGTTTAACTAGTTCATCTGGTTGTTTCACTTATCGTAAGCGGTGGGAAATACTAGCCTTTCCTTTTTTTTAGCTGCCTTGTAGTGCTGAAATCTATGAGTGAATGAAGGCATCGTATTTTAATAGTCTAGGGTCACAAATTGGGGAGTGCACGGCACTGGAAACTCTTCATGTGTTAAAAGGAATGAAGGAAATATTGTTGTGTCAACGCTGGGACTTCTGTCTGTCATAAGAGTGACAAAAGAGCCCTCTCGGCTATAATGTATACCCAACTGCATGAGTGGCTTTATTAGGTGGGCCATTAGGCTGATTAGGTGGCTTCATTAGGTTGATTATTCGCATTAGGTGAAAGCAAGTTCATAGAAAGAAAACACGCATTTCTCACAGTTTACAACTTGAATACCATCTTATTTATGGTTATTTTTACTGTTTTGTTTGAATATGATAAAATAACAATAATAAATTGTTACTTAACAATTTTTTCAGAGAAATTTCTAACAATGTATAAACACAGCAGAATAATGCAAGTTGTGCAAGAAAAAAAATTTGCTACGAGTGAAAACTACAGCAATCAGTAATAAATTAAATTTTAAAAGCAAATTTCAACTCATTCTTACAAAAAATATGAATATAGTGTTTCCCTTAAAGTTTACTTTTGATTAGCTAATAGAATGAATTCATGGTTTAGTAACAAACTAGCCGGAATTAGGCTGTTACGAACATGAAGTGAAGAATAAAAATAATATTTTAAACTAAGTCTGACGAAAATACGATACTGAAAAATAAGGAAAAATTCCAAGTAATAATTGGCATTGTAAAACATGACATTACTTGAGAAAAAATTCCCCTTAAAAGTACTTTCATATTAGTAACAACAAACAACCTGAAAACAGTAAGAACAAAATGATTTTTAAAAAAACAATTTAATTCATAATTCTTAATTTAAATCTACATATTTTTTTGATCGAAAATTTTAAAATGAAATATTCGGAATAATTTATTTATACGTTTATCGTGTCTTATTTATTTTAATTCGATAAAAAATATTATGTAATAAATAAAAAAAATTTCATATTTTTTCATTACACAATTATTAAATATTTAAATATTTTTTACATTAAAAAATTTGAACACTTTTATAAGAAGACATTTTAAACAGCTTTATATTTACTCAACATTAATTCCAAAAATTTATAAAATTGCAAATTTATCGAAAAAATATTCTTAAAATCTGATAACTAGGTCATATTTTTAATTTTATAAATTTTACTAGAATGTTCAGCAGTACTTTCTAATAAATGTCTAAAATTAATTATTTGGATATTTTAATGATCACAATATTTCAATCAAAATAGTAGAAAAGAAAAATTTACTCATCTTTTAAACATTAAACAACGCCTACTTTTGCTGGATAAAATTATGCAATAAAATATATTTAAAAAGTAAGACAGAATATTTTTACAAAAAAATATATTCTTTGATTTTATTATTAAAATCTTATAATGCCTCATACTGATTAACTATAAATTCAGAATACCTTAAAATTTTCAAAATTTCAATTTTGAAACCTTAAAAATTAATGAACACGTCATATTTTAAATTCAGCATTGCATATATAATATACTATTATCAAAATATTTATTCAAAACTTAATATTAACCAATCGCACCTTACCCGCTGAATTCAGAGAAACCACGCATGCTCGATATATCCACCAATAGAAAACCCTACCATTTATACGTCATCAGTTTATCCGCCGAAAATCAAATCTCGCTTTATTGACACCTAGAACTGAAAATGCTTAAACAAAGTGCCATATAATAGGGAGAATTCATACTAATCCCTATTGATCTAGTTCATTCACGTACTTCTCTCCCCCTTACCCCCATTTTCCCTTTTTTGCTTTCTTTTCTCACTTTTTTTTTTTTTTTTTTTTCTTCTTGGTTTTATTGGAGGATGAGATTTGGGCGGGTGTCGATTTTTAGACAGACAAGATTTTATTCCATTTCCTTGATTGTCACATTTTAAGAATATTGTGAGAAAAACTCTGACACATTAATTTAAAAGTTCTATTGTTGACTCAAACTTAATTTAGTGAGTGGGAATATGTATAACTCCGCAACATCTCAAGTGAGTAGAGTTTAATTAGCAAACCCATTTCTTACTTTACTGATTAATCTTTCATAAAATTAATTATAGCAGTTTTTTTTTATCCTTTAATCAATTAAAATAACAATTTATAAACTTTTTATTTTGATTTTAATTATTGCGCTTTAACCTTTTGACGCAAAATTCTTATTAATCATATTTTTCATACTATTTTCATTATTATGAGTTAATTTACATCGAAATGAGCGAAAAATATATGTAGCATTTTAACAGTTTATGGTTATGATATACGGCATAAAACACCGATGTCTTTTTTCTGCGTAAAAGGTAAAGTATTCAAAACACGGTTGGCTCACTTCAAAACGATAACTTTTCAAATTTGCACCCATTTACAGTTATTTAGATCTAAAAGAAAGCAAAAATTCAGAAACAATTTATTTCGACTTTAATTATTGTGATTTAACCCTTTGATGCAGACTTTTTTTTAAAAACATATTTTTCATGCTTTTTTCAATATTCTGAACTAATTAAGGTCAAAAAATGTGAAAAAATATTACATTTACCATTAAAATAATTTTCGGTTTTGAAATACAGTTTGAAAAACCAGTGTCTTTTTCTGTGTTAAAGGTAAAAACTTTCGAGCACGGCAAACTCACTTCAAAACGGTAACTTTTTAAATTTGCACCCATTTACAGGTATTTAGATCTAAAAGAAACATCACAGCTGGCTCACATCAAAACGATGACTTTTCAAATTTGCACCTATCCGCAGTTATTTAGATCTAAATAATAATAATAATTCAGAAACAATCTATTTTGGCTTTAATTATTGTGATTTACCCTTTGATGCAGAATTTTAAAAAAACACATTTTTCATGCTTTTTTCATTAATATGTACTAATTAAGGTCAAAAGATGTGAAAAAATATTATATTTACCATTAAAATAATTTTCGGTTATGAAATACAGCGTGAAACACCAGTGTCTTTTTCTGTGTTAAAGGTAAAAACTTTCAAACACGGCTAACTCACTTCAAAACGGTAACTTTTTAAATTTGCACCCATTTACAGGTATTTAGATCTAAAAGAAACATCACAGCTGGCTCACATCAAAACGATGACTTTTCAAATTTGCACCTATCCGCAGTTATTTAGATCTAAATAATAATAATAATTCAGAAACAATCTATTTTGGCTTTAATTATTGTGATTTACCCTTTGATGCAGAATTTTAAAAAAACACATTTTTCATGCTTTTTTCATTAATATGTACTAATTAAGGTCAAAAGATGTGAAAAAATATTATATTTACCATTAAAATAATTTTCGGTTATGAAATACAGCGTGAAACACCAGTGTCTTTTTCTGTGTTAAAGGTAAAAACTTTCAAACACGGCTAACTCACTTCAAAACGGTAACTTTTTAAATTTGCACCCATTTACAGGTATTTAGATCTAAAAGAAACATCACAGCTGGCTCACATCAAAACGATGACTTTTCAAATTTGCACCTATCCGCAGTTATTTAGATCTAAATAATAATAATAATTCAGAAACAATCTATTTTGGCTTTAATTATTGTGATTTACCCTTTGATGCAGAATTTTAAAAAAACACATTTTTCATGCTTTTTTCATTAATATGTACTAATTAAGGTCAAAAGATGTGAAAAAATATTATATTTACCATTAAAATAATTTTCGGTTATGAAATACAGCGTGAAACACCAGTGTCTTTTTCTGTGTTAAAGGTAAAAACTTTCAAACACGGCTAACTCACTTCAAAACGGTAACTTTTTAAATTTGCACCCATTTACAGGTATTTAGATCTAAAAGAAACATCACAGCTGGCTCACATCAAAACGATGACTTTTCAAATTTGCACCTATCCGCAGTTATTTAGATCTAAATAATAATAATAATTCAGAAACAATCTATTTTGGCTTTAATTATTGTGATTTACCCTTTGATGCAGAATTTTAAAAAAACACATTTTTCATGCTTTTTTCATTAATATGTACTAATTAAGGTCAAAAGATGTGAAAAAATATTATATTTACCATTAAAATAATTTTCGGTTATGAAATACAGCGTGAAACACCAGTGTCTTTTTCTGTGTTAAAGGTAAAAACTTTCAAACACGGCTAACTCACTTCAAAACGGTAACTTTTTAAATTTGCACCCATTTACAGGTATTTAGATCTAAAAGAAACATCACAGCTGGCTCACATCAAAACGATGACTTTTCAAATTTGCACCTATCCGCAGTTATTTAGATCTAAATAATAATAATAATTCAGAAACAATCTATTTTGGCTTTAATTATTGTGATTTACCCTTTGATGCAGAATTTTAAAAAAACACATTTTTCATGCTTTTTTCATTAATATGTACTAATTAAGGTCAAAAGATGTGAAAAAATATTATATTTACCATTAAAATAATTTTCGGTTATGAAATACAGCGTGAAACACCAGTGTCTTTTTCTGTGTTAAAGGTAAAAACTTTCAAACACGGCTAACTCACTTCAAAACGGTAACTTTTTAAATTTGCACCCATTTACAGGTATTTAGATCTAAAAGAAACATCACAGCTGGCTCACATCAAAACGATGACTTTTCAAATTTGCACCTATCCGCAGTTATTTAGATCTAAATAATAATAATAATTCAGAAACAATCTATTTTGGCTTTAATTATTGTGATTTACCCTTTGATGCAGAATTTTAAAAAAACACATTTTTCATGCTTTTTTCATTAATATGTACTAATTAAGGTCAAAAGATGTGAAAAAATATTATATTTACCATTAAAATAATTTTCGGTTATGAAATACAGCGTGAAACACCAGTGTCTTTTTCTGTGTTAAAGGTAAAAACTTTCAAACACGGCTAACTCACTTCAAAACGGTAACTTTTTAAATTTGCACCCATTTACAGGTATTTAGATCTAAAAGAAACATCACAGCTGGCTCACATCAAAACGATGACTTTTCAAATTTGCACCTATCCGCAGTTATTTAGATCTAAATAATAATAATAATTCAGAAACAATCTATTTTGGCTTTAATTATTGTGATTTACCCTTTGATGCAGAATTTTAAAAAAACACATTTTTCATGCTTTTTTCATTAATATGTACTAATTAAGGTCAAAAGATGTGAAAAAATATTATATTTACCATTAAAATAATTTTCGGTTATGAAATACAGCGTGAAACACCAGTGTCTTTTTCTGTGTTAAAGGTAAAAACTTTCAAACACGGCTAACTCACTTCAAAACGGTAACTTTTTAAATTTGCACCCATTTACAGGTATTTAGATCTAAAAGAAACATCACAGCTGGCTCACATCAAAACGATGACTTTTCAAATTTGCACCTATCCGCAGTTATTTAGATCTAAATAATAATAATAATTCAGAAACAATCTATTTTGGCTTTAATTATTGTGATTTACCCTTTGATGCAGAATTTTAAAAAAACACATTTTTCATGCTTTTTTCATTAATATGTACTAATTAAGGTCAAAAGATGTGAAAAAATATTATATTTACCATTAAAATAATTTTCGGTTATGAAATACAGCGTGAAACACCAGTGTCTTTTTCTGTGTTAAAGGTAAAAACTTTCAAACACGGCTAACTCACTTCAAAACGGTAACTTTTTAAATTTGCACCCATTTACAGGTATTTAGATCTAAAAGAAANACTGAAGTCAGTATTACCATTAACAACATTTACAGAAATTCAAATATATAATTCCGATCTTAATATGCAATTTTAACACTTTGTATTTTTCTATACATTTGGTATCATTATGGTACTTAAAAGTTTGATAATTATATTTTCTTTCTTTTTTTCTTACAAATCTTTAAACTCAATAAACCTAGTCTATATATTTTTTAAACTTTTTGTCAGACTTTATGAAACTAATAGCTTTTTTATAAATTTTAGACGCTGATTCCGAAAAGGACTTCCGTTATTGTCAATCACATAAGAGTTTCTTAAAAAATAGTTATTTTAATATTTTTTAATAAATGTAATCAAGAATCAGCAATCGTTTAATAAATTAAATTTTAATGTTATGTACCAATTTTTATTTTTTTTACACTCAATCGAATAGAACAAATTACAAGTTGATAAGGAGTATTTATTTTAAAGTTGTGAGTAATTTTATGTGAGGAAAATGTCTAAGAGAGAATGATTTGAAATAATACTTTTAAAATAAGTTGAAAACAATATCTCCTATATAATTTGTAATACCAAGCAGAATAAAACAAATAGTTAGTTGTTACAATCATTTGTTTAAATATAAAAACACATCCCATAAGATGAAATTCAAAAAATTGCAGATTACTTTCAACAATAAATGTCTTTATTTGCAATTGATTTTATTCAATTCAGCATTAAAATTGCGTAAGAAACTATACTGACTTATTTCTAAAAAATTTAAGATTTCCGAAAGTCTCTAATTTTTGAAGTAGTGAACCATAAACAGCTGCATAAAAATGCTCATAACCTTGAAACAAATTGTCATATAAACTTGAAATCGGGTTTAATTTAATTCTNTGAACTATAAACAGCTGCATAAAAGTGCTCATAACCTTGAAACAAATTGTCATATAAACTTGAAATCGGGTTAAATTTAATTCTATTCAATATTTTAATAAGTAATTACAATCTGCTTAGTAAATAATTAACGTGGGCAAATTGAGAAAAAATAACTCGTAATGAAAATAGTAGTGTGATCAAACATAAAAAAGTGAGCTAGTACAGTTACTAGTTTTCAATTATCAAATATCTAACAAACTATTGTTATCAACAATTGAATAAATGCTGTAGTTTATTAGGAGATTTTACTTTTTCTTTATGGTATGAATTCAGAACTATTTCCTAGGAGAAGGCTGAGCAGTAACTTGCTAGTCACTTCTTCATCGCTGCTGCACATGTGCTATTTACAGCCTAGGTCATCTCAGCAATATCAGGGAACAGTGGATAAGCTCTGTAAATATATATATATATATATATATATGTAAGAAAAAGAAATTGCACGTTAATCAGATTTAAAAAGAAACATCAGATTTAAAATACAGTGTTATTATACATATTTTGACTCATAAACAACAATATAAACTTTGCAACAGATATCCGAGCAAACGATAAGCACACAGCTATAGTAGAATTTCAAAGCAAAATTGCTATTTTAAAGATATTTCAATTTTCAATGATTTATTTATAAGAGAAATTATGAACATTTTACTCAACTAATCAGCTTGCATACTGCAGCGTTGAAACATACACATTTAAGCAAAATAAAAGAACAGTTATATTTGAATAAGTTACAAACAATAAAACATAGTGTGCATAACCTGCTGTAACGATTCACCAGTAACGTTACCCTAAACAGCGACGAGAAATATTTCGATTGTTCTCTCTTATTGCTAAGCCTACACTAATAGCTTCTAAGAATATCCCCCAACTTAAACTATTTAAGATCAGGAAGCATCTTTAAAACAAAAATAATAAAATTTAAGTTTGAAAATCGAAGCATATTTGATTAAAAGTGATAAAACCAAATTAATAAATGTCAAGCACACTTACCGAATTTCGAATACACTTTCGATTGTCAACACACACGCCATTTGCCGGCTCGCACGGAACTCTGGGAAGTGAGCTAGTTAATATGAAGTGTACTTTAAACAACCTTAAAACAAGCTTAGGTATAAATAAAATGACTTCATACACCTCAATAAATACCTCGCTCTCGTTAGTTGAAATAAGGTTGATTTTTTTATACCTCGTAAATACCTCACTCTCGATAGTTGAAATAAGGTTGATTTTTTTGTACCTCATAAATACCTCTTTTTGTTACAAGTGTAAGAAAAACAACCTGGTATACCTTGGAAACTACCTCATCAGTCTGGTTGATATGAAGTGATTTTAAAATAACCTCCAAATAAGCTTAGGTATAAATAAAATTACTTCATATACCTCAATAAATACCTCACTTTCTTTAGTTGAAATAAGGTATATTTTTTTATACCTCGTAAATACCTCTGTTGTTACAAGTGTAAGAAAATCAACTTGGTATACCTCAAAAATCATCTTATCAGTCTGGTTGATTTGAAGTGAATTTTAAACAACCTCAAAGCAAACTGAAGTGTATATAAAACAGCCTCGTCCACCTTAATTACAACCTTTACGAGGTATAATTTTTATTGCTGTTTTCTGTGCAACCTTAAATATACCTCAAATATACCTCAAATCAACCTTAATACCTGAAAAATACCTCAAATCAACCTTAAATATACCTTAAATTTTCGTAAGGGATGTTTTAAATCTTAGGAACTAATAACAGAAATATGGCTGAATTATGAAAATAAAGGTAAGAGAACCGAAATTTTATCTGTTTGTCCCATAAACTGTTGGTATAGTTTTAAATTTACGGTCAATTTGCAAATCAATATTTTAGAAAAGGCATAACTAAACTTTATTATGAAAATATTTATTCAAAACTAATATTAACCAATCGCACCTTACCCGCTGAATTCAGAGAAACCACGCATGCTCGATATATCCACCAATAGAAAACCCTACCATTTATACGTCATCAGTTTATCCGCCGAAAATCAAATCTCGCTTTATTGACACCTAGAACTGAAAATGCTTAAACAAAGTGCCATATAATAGAGAGAATTCATACTAATCCCCATTGATCTTGTTCATTCGCGTACTTCTCTTCACCCCATTTTTCCTTTTTTGCTTCCGTTTCTCACTTTTTTTTTTTTCCTTCTTGGTTTTATTGGAGGATGCGATTTGGGCGGGTGTCGATTTTTAGACAAACAAGATATTATTCCATTTCCTTGATTGTCACATTTTAAGAATATTGTGAGAAAAACTCTTGACACATTAATTTAAAAGTTCTATTGTTGACTCAAACTTAATTTAGTGCGTGGGAATATGTATAACTCCGCAACATCGCAAGTGAGTAGAGTTTAATTAGCAAACCCTTTTTTTAACTTTACAGATTAATCTTTCATAAAATTAATTATAACAGTTTTTTTTTATCCTGTAATCAATTAAAATAACAAATCATAAACTTTTTATTTTGACTTTAATTATTGTGCTTTAACCTTTTGACGCAAAATTCTTATTAATCATATTTTTCATACTTTTTTCATTATCATGCATTAATTTCGATCAAAATAAGTGAAAAATATTATATTTAGCATTTTAATAGTTTATGGTTATAATATACGGCATAAAACACTGGTGTTCGTTTTTTTTTTTTTTAATTTCATGCGTAAAAGACAAAATCTTCCAAAAACGGCACGCTCACTTCAAAACGATAACTTTTCCACTTTGCACCTATTCGCAGATATTTAGTTCTAAAAATAATAATAATAATTCAGAAACAATTTATTTTGACTTTAATTATTTTGATTTAGCCCTTTAAAGCAGAATTAAGGAAGCACATTTTTCATGCTTTTTTCATTATTATGTACTAATTAAGGTCAAAAGATGAGAAAAATATCATATTTAACATTAGAATAATTTACGGTTATGAAATACAGCGTGAAACAGTGGTGTGTGTTTTCCGCGTTAAAGGTAAAAACTTTCAAACACGGCTAACTCACTATCAAACTTTCAAACATGGCTAACGATAACTTTTCAAATTTGCACCTAATCGCAGTTATTTAGATCTAAAAGAAAGCAAAAATTCAGAAACAATTTATTTTGACTTTAATTATTGTGATTTAACCCTTTGATACAGAATTTTTTTTAAAAAACATATTTTTTATGCTTTTTTCAATATTATGCACTAATTCAAGTCAAAAGATGCGAAAAAATATTATACTTAACATTAGAATAATTTTCGGTTATGAAATACAGCGTGAAACACCGGTGTTTTTCTTCTGTGTTAAAGGTTAAAACTTTCGAACGCGGCTAACTCACTTCAAAACGGCAACTCTTCAAATTTGCATCCATTTACAGGTATTTAGATCTAAAAGAAACATCACAGCTGGCTCACTTCAAAACGATGACTTTTCAAATTTGCACCTATCCGCAGTTATTTAGTTCTAAAAAAAAATGATAATTCAGTAACAATCTATTTTGGCTTTAATTATTGTGATTTAACCCTTTGATGCAGAATTTTGAAAAAACACATTTTTTATGCTTTTTTCATTATTATGTACTAATTAAGGTCAAAAGATATGAAAAAATATTATATTTAACAATAGAATAATTTACGGTTATGAAATACAGCGTGAAACACCGGTGTTTTTCTTCTGTGTTAAAGGTAAAAACTTTCGAACACGGCTAACTCACTTCAAAATGGTAACTCTTCAAATTTGCACCCATTTACAGGTATTTAGATCTAAAAGAAACATCACAGTTGGCTCACTTGAAAACGATGACTTTTCAAATTTGCACCTATCCGCAGTTATTTAGATCTAAAAGAAAGCAAAAATTCAGTAACAATCTATTTTGGCTTCAATTATTGTGATTTAACCCTTTGATACAGAATTTTAAAAAAGCATATTTTTCATTAATATGTACTACTTAAGGTCAAAAGATGTGAAAAAATATTAGAAATTAACTTTAGAATAATTTACTATTATGATATACAGCGTGAAACACCGGTGTCTTTTTCTGCGTTAAATCTTCCATCACTTTCCAACCAATAATTTTGAC